CAGCCTCTTCAGGTATTTGAAGGAAAATCTATAATACATTCCTCCTTCTGCAGATAACTGGGGCTGTATGACCTAAGCTGGAAACCTATTGTGAGGTTACAGAATATGTTGCCATTCTGGGGAAACTGGGTAGAGCTTATCGCTGCCCACCCTGTGGTAGAACGGCACGCAAATCCATGGCTGGCTCAGAAAGTTTCCAAAACAAAAAGCATTTCAAGGACTCCAGGGGAACGTGGAACAGCGGCACAGTGAGGTCCTTCCAGCCCCACTGGCTGCAACTGAGCAGAAAGGAGACTGATCTGTCTCCAGTTCTTGGATTGGGATCCTGAGTGACTGTAGCATTTTGGGAGGTGGAGGGTATTGGTGATTGAACCCAGGTCTTTGCACCGAGCTCCAGCTCCAGCCTAGGCTTGAAGTTTCCATCCTCCTGTCTCTGCCTCCCAGAGTGCTGAGATTCCAGGCTTGTGCCACCACACCCAGCTGCACTTAGTTTTGGTTATGCTAAGAACAGGTAGTGTCTATCGTGCCAGCCCGGCAGGGAAACACCCAGAAACGCAAATGGTGGAATCCCTCGAGCCCCATAATCTTATTAGGGGGGCCTGAATAAAGCTCCGGACAGGCGCTTTTCTGGAGAGGAAGCAGGATTTCTCGAGCCAAGGATGAATCAGAGGGTCCTGGGCTGCTGTCCCTCAAAGCCTTACGACCCAGCCGCACTCACCAGCCGCCGGAACAGCCGCTGCAGCTGCGCCGCATCCTCGCGGAGCCTCCCGGCCGCACGGGTGCGGGTCCGCGCTGAGCGGCAGCGCAGACGCCCGCGGAGCAGCGGCCGCACGTACTCTACCAGCGCTCGCCGGTGCAGCTCGGCCACCAGTGCCTGGGGACGCCGGAGGGACAGGGAGGTGAGCGCTTCGGCGCCCACCACTGGCCCCACCAGGCCTCGGGGGAGCCCTCTTTCGTTCCCCACCGCCAACCTTCAAGCCCAAGGAGCCTCTGGACTTCCACGGGTGATCGTGCCCAACCAGTGTCGCCCAGAATCTGCCCGAAGATTCCTCCCCGTAGCCCTCAAAGGGTGCTCCGTTCTAGCCTCCCACACGGACCCCAGCCGGGCTCTGTTCCCAGTTCCCAGGGGCGCACCCCTCTTCCCCACAGATCCACACGCCAAGTGCAGGGGTTCTGAGGGAGCCGCCGCGGCGCGCGCCCCACCGCACCTGGTAAGGTTCGTCTTGCATCCTACGCAGCGCCAGCGCCTGCGCGCCCAGGGTGCCCACGATGCCGTCCAGCGCCTCCGGGCTGCTCAGCCACTTCCGGCGCATCAGCTTGTTGAAGTGCGGCTGCAGGGACAGCCGGACTGTGAGTGGATCACAGTCTCCTGGCTTTGCTCTTCTCTCAGGAGAGTTTCCAAGCCCTGCTGCGGTCGCCCCAGGGCTGGGTAGTGCTCAGGGACACACTAGGAGGGTCCTCCCCTGCCCTGCCCTGCCCTGCCCTGCTGGGACTCGAAGCTGGCGCAGAGGGAGGGACAGATGAGGCCCAGATGTTAAAATCCAGAGCTGGCTGGACTGGCACTTTGGAGTGGGCAAAGAGGAGAACGATACCACTGTGCACAGAATCTATGGGGGACACTAAGCTGATACCCCAGTGATAGTCACTGCTAGCCCAGTGACTGGGGAATGAGGAGGGCTCCCATTTCAGACAGGTGCCTGGATATGAGGACCAGGAAAAGGGTCACAGAGGGCGGGGCAGGACCACCTGCATAATCCTCCCATTTTGCTAAAGCAAAATGAAAGCATGGGGACCACGTGGAGAGATTATCAAAATCTTAAAGACAGCAACTGCAGAGAGTTAACCAAGCCTGAGCCTTTTCAAGTGTGTGTTAGGGGGACAGTGTGTCTGGAAGTCCAGGAGGGTAGCTCAGTATGGACCCACCAGACACAGGCCATGCGGGTCCCCATCTCACCCGACTCCAGGACCCCCTTCCCACATTTGTCCAGTGACTTCTCAGAATTTCCCAAACATGGAGCTTTTGTAAAACAAACAAATCTAAAACACCTGAGCACAAAGTAGCCCGCAAGACGGCGCGCCTTCTGCAAACCCCCACTGCACCTGACGGCCCCACACCTGCCTGCGCATGCGTATAGCCCCTCAAACCCGCACCTCCCACTCAGCGGGCTCTGCTCTCCAGTGTGTCTCTGATGTTCCTCTCTCTCTGTCCCAGCCATGTCTCCCAGCCATGTCTCCCCTCCTCCTCCCCTTTCCCCCTGACTCACCTTATTTTCTCTGTCTTCCTGTCTCTCTCCCCCTCTCTGAAAACATGTAGAGTGGTTCATAGAGTACGATTCTAGACTCAGCCGGGGAGACCCTGCCCTGCTCAATCCCAGTCTCAGCTAAAAAGAGCCCATAGTAAAGCCGTCTTTCAAGAGCGTGGTGAGAATTAAGTGAGTTGAGGTTCTGCTAGCTTAGTGACCGGCACAGAGGACACAGAATTTGCTGTTACTGCGGTCTGTATCTGATGACATCAAGGAATCATTGTTCCCTCTATTAGGTATAAAATGACACTGTTAAATGTCACAGCCTGCAACCCTGGCATTTAGGGGAGGCCAAGGCAGGATCACAAGTTTGATGCCCACTTGGGCTGCATAATGAGTTCAAGGCTGGCCTGAATTGTAGTGAGATCCCCCGCAATGATATAGTTGGTTATATCTGCTTTTAAAAGAAGATTTCTTGTCTTTTGGAAATAGAGGCTGACAGAATTCGGCGTGGAGGCATGGCCCCGTGGTACCCAGGCTTCCTTCAAGTCAGAGGCCTTGGGTTCCATCCCCAGAGCCACACAAGAGGCAAACAATTGAGGAGGTGGGGGAGGGGGTGAAACAATATTGGTGAGACATGACATTTGCTGAACTGAGTCATGAATGATGGGGGTCTTTCTATCATTCTGGCTGCTTGGGATTAGGTATGCTTGAAGTTTCCCATAATGAAAAGTAATTTTAGAAAACTTCTACCAACGCTTGCACTTGAGCTAACATTCCAGTGGGAGGGCCCAGATTTAAAGATAATAATAAAAGCTGAGGATACAGCTCAGTGGTAGAGCATTCTCCTAGCAGGTCCCAGGCCTCAGGCTCTGTGACTAGTGCACAATAAGTACATGAGGATGTAGGCAGCAGATGACAGCAAGTGCCACAAACAGCTAAAAGTCAGAAGGAGAGGCCTCGGGCCTCACTGTTGCGCAGGCTGAGCCTCAGCTGGGCTCAAGCGATCCTTCTGCTTCAGCCTCCCGAGTAGCTGGGACTACAGGTGATTTGTGAAGTGGGATGACCAGGGATGGTTTCATTCAGAAGGTGACATCTCAGTCAAGATTAGAAAGACCTGAGACAAGGACCTGTGGGGTATTTGGCGGTGGGAGAGCGGTCAGAGGATGGCAAGTGCAAAGGCCTGGGGGCTGCAGGGACTTGAGTGTGTGTACAGGAGGCCAAAGGTTAGGGGGTCGGAGCAGGTGTGCAGGACCACAAGAGCCAAGACCAAGATTCTGGCTTTTGTTTGGAGCATTCAGAATAGGGGAAGGGAATCCTGGGTATAGATTTTGGGGGGCCTCACAGGGAAGGGTTCCACTCAAGCCCCTGCCTGCTGGTGGTTTTCATCCTCCTGTTGGCCACTTCTACCTCCTTCCTTCCTGTACCCACTCGCAACCCTGTCACCCCCACTGAGCCTGTTTCCCAAACACTGAGTCCTGGGCTGAGGAGAATGCAAGGTGGGGTGCTCCCTCCCTGTCTGGACACAGCCCCAGCCCAGTCCCTGCCTCACCTGTAGCTCCTGGAACAGCAGGTCAGCCAGGACTCGGTGGCATAGTCGGGTCACGCGGTCCAGAGCACTGGCCGAGGCTTCCCGGGCAGGCTCACTTTCAGGGGGCCCCACCCTGGCCAGGCGCTCGGCCAGAGCTCTGTGGAGGATCAAAGCAGAGTCAAAAGTCAAGGAGCCCAAATGTCTCAGCCCAACCACC